AGGGAGAATGGAAGTCTACGCAATGGTGGCTAGGCTTTATTATGATTTGCAAGTTGATTACTCTGAACAGCTATGGACAGAGTTCTTAACAAGCATTTCGAAGACCAATGTCAGGCATGGGATTTCGTGTGCCAGATATTGGAGTCTTATTCTTCAATATGTTTATACAAAGGAGAGGATTGAAGTTCCTGAATCTGAAGAAAAAGCCATTTTTCATATGTATGGAAGTCCGAAGGAGGTTGTTGATGATCCTGCCATCTTTACATCTATTGCTCGTATTCCGGATACGATGCTCAAAAAGGTGAATCCAACAAATAACGTGTTGGTTCCATATCTTCAATCAATTGACACAACCGTTGTTAGTGGTATTTTATACGAAGCAGAGACGAAGAAATCAAAGAAAACGAAGAAGACAGACGTTGGGTCTTCGGAAAGAATAGTGAAGGTTGAGAATAAGAAGAAATCTCCTACGGTCAAACCAGCTACAGTCGAAGAAGTTTCTCAACAGATTATTTCACCTGTTTCGACGACTGTTGCTGATACACCAACTATTGAAGCGTCTCAGGAGAAAGAGATTATTCCATCTAAGACGGGGGTTTTTCGCCGACTCAAATTCAAGCTAAAATCTTCATCTCAGATTATTCAGAAAACTCAAATCACACATCAGGGTGTTATGGTCCGGGAAATTCCATCCCCTGTTTCTCCATCGTCGAAAAAGCGAAGGGCTGAAGATCTTGAAAAATTTATTAAGAAGAATCAAAGGACTGAGGAAGAAGAGAAAGTTCCTGAAACACCTGAAGTCAGAATTCAAGAAGAAGCAAAGACCAGTCCGCATGTTACTCTTTCGAAGCCTGCTGATTCGAAACCTGTTGAACACGGTCATGTTGTCTCTTTACCCCAGGTTACATCAACTACTGATTCTTCAACTTTTCAATCTATTATGGATCAACCGTTCACTACAATTTTTTCTACTCAATCTACTGATCCACCGAACCCATCTTCACCGGTTGATGAAACCATGGCTACTGATGCTGGAACTGATAATGAAGGCTTTGGAAGAACGTTCGAAGCTCTTCACTTTGATAATTCCGATTAAGATTTTCCAGACCACATGCTGATGACGATGAAGCAATTCAAGATTCTGAATTCAAAATTAAATTCAATCTTGCAATCACAAGCAGATGTGGGTAGTGTTGGGGTTACAAGTTTGGAGGTTGATTCGTTGATGAAATTGATGGAAGGGTGCGTAATTTCGAAGGCTTCTGGATTAATTAGGGATTCAAAAAGTAGAGTCCTTGAAAAAGTTGATCAACATCATATTTCTACTGAGAATCGAATTAATTCTCAGAAGGCTGATTTTGTACGAGAGTTGAAAGATTTGAAGATAGTTACGAAGGAGCGTCATGTGCTCTTCGTACAAGAAGTCAAAAAGGCATGGGAGGATGTTAACCTTCAAATCAGAGAACTTAGAGAAGATATGCAAAAGGAAGTTCAAATCGTACAACAGGATTATGCTTCGGCTAATCAGAAAATTGATATCATTTGTGATGCTGTCACCAGATGTGTCAAACTTTTCGAACAGATGAATCCAACACTGACAACTCTTTCTGCCAAAGAGGAACAAAACTTTGGAGATTTGGTAGGCTTGTTGAAGGAATTAAAGGACTTATCTTCGAAGTCTGTCTCTCTGATAATTTCCCAAGAATTTCTTTCCCAGAAGTTTTCTCACTTTGAAGCCATTTTACACAAGAATCTTATTCCACTGCTTCGCATTTCCAGCCTTTTACCAACTGTATCAGATACCCCACCTACTTTCACAGGGGTGCAAGGGGGAGAAAAGATAGAACAAACAAAGGCTGGGGAACAAGTGAAAACTTGCGAAGGGATGAAGACAACCATAGAAGATGCGAAGGTAGTTGGTAAGATATATCCTTCGAAGGTGGTGGCAAAGGCAACTGTTGTTTCTGCTGGTCCAGTTACTTCAACTGTGATCACAACAGTTCCATTTCCAAAACCAATCTCAAAGGGAGTCGTAATTGGAAAGCAAATAGGTGTATCTTCTTCAGAAAAAGTTGATTTATCAAAAATAAAGGATAAGGGCAAAGAGATTGTTATTGAAAAGTCCAAAGAAGAAAAGAAAGCGGAGGTGGCAGCTGAAGTAGAAAGAATGAGATAGGTACAGAGCATAATGAGACAAAGGGCTCTGGATGGTTCGAATGTTGATAAGGGTGATCCTTCAAAAGTGTATAATTACGAAACCATTGAATCCAGAGTGATGTTTGATCATATGTGTTCATTTGAAAAGATTCCTAAGAAAAGCTACGTGGTAACAAACATTGATTCTTGTCAACTTGATTTTCCAATCAATGAGGTGATGTTTGTTATGCCACAGTTTAAAGCCGAAACAAAGTCACTGGAAACAGAAGAGGGAAAGAAGATGAAAATTCGGTTTCATGCGGTATTGGGAAAGGCTCAGGAAAAGATTTGGTTTTTGGAGAAGATAAGAAAGGTGATTTCTATCAAAAGAGATGTTATTTTCGAAGGGAAGTTTGAAAACATCAAATACATTGTTGCAAGAGCAAGTGGAAAACTTCAAGAATTTACGGTGGCAGACTTTCCTTTGATGAATACTTATGATCTCATCAATGTCGCCTTGATGCTTAAAGACAAATCATTTTCATTTCTTAAAGATACTGAGCCTGATGTATTTAGCCTTGGGTGCAAGCACATAAAAATATAGTTGGAAAATTACTTCGAGTGCTTGGCTCAAACAGATGTGGAACTTGCTATAGTAAAAGGAATTGATATAACTGCACCAATGGCACCAACAAAGAAGCAAAATGAGCTAAACAAGTATGAAGATGGGGAAATTTGCTTAAAACCATTGGGGATAGTTTTTGCTGGGAAGGATAAAGCTGGAAGAGCTAAAAGATTTTTGTTCCAAACTTGTGTAGTGGAGAGATACAACAACTCTCAATATACGAACTTAATTGTTCGTATGAACCACTGCAAGAAAAACTCAGAAGGAGATAAGAAAGAGATAAAGAAGGTTATCTCTTGGTATATGGAGATCCGAAGAGTGTTGATGTATGCTGTTCAAGCACTGACTACTTGAAGACTTCGACCTTGATTCCAAAGGGGGAGATTGTTAGGGCTAAAATGTTGTAATAGTCGAAGAGTCAGTTTGGTTGTTACGAAGAATCTTGTATCTTCGTATGTATGGGTCTTCGTATATATAGTTATTTTACTAAGGCATTATAAAGTCAAGACTTAACGTTTAGTCCTTAGTATTTTTGTTATGCTTTTATTCTCTAATAAATAGGGGTATGTACTAGTGATCTAGAAGATAATTTTTACACACGGTTTTACAGTTTAGTCATTGTATTCTGTAAACTGAAAGACATAATATGAGCTGAACAAAGATTCTATTTACTCTCGTGATCATCGTTTCAATACTTTACTCAATTACTTCTAGAATTACATTCAAACTTGATTTCAAATCTCATCACCTTTTATCTTTTAAAAAATAAAAAATAATAATTTTAATAATAAATGAAATAAAAAACGCTTAAAATTAAATAATTATTTTTAATCACTTTCATATCATAAAATAAGTCTACCTGTAGACTTCACATTAATAGAAAGATAATTAATACCATTAAATCCATGCTAAATGATTGTTGTGTTTTTGTCTTTTTTGAGACTTTTTCATCCATATTATATTAGTCTTGATTATTTTTCTTTTTAAATTTTTTAGAATTCATTATAACAAAATCAAACTAGATAAAAAATAAAGAAAAATCAATTATAACAAAAAGAGATAAAACTAAAATATAATTTGATATCATTGGAAAAAGGATAAAAAGTTATGAATTTCTGTATTTTTAGGGTTTTTTTAATAAAAAATATGTGCTAAAAATTGAAAAAAAATATTGGTTTATTGGTTAATTATGATTCTTTATTAAACCTCACTCTATCTATATATATATATATATATATATATATATTATATATATATATATATATATATATATATATATATATATATGCCAAATAAAATAATACATATCCTATTCCTATACATTAGGAATGAAGGAAACCAAAAACCCAAACAACTCAATATACAACATTTTAAAGGGAGCATCTTCTAGAAGGTCACCCATTTAATTTAATATATCGGTAGAAATATGTCACTAACATTCTAGAGCCCATAGCTCAATATGAATGACAAGACGTTAACTTTATAATATAATGGGTACTTTATTTACTTGTATGTTTTTATTTTGTTAAACCTGTTTTACGTTTTTTATTATTTCCATGTAAATTACAACAATTAATTGTTTATATAGCTATTAAAAAGATTTATAATTAGAAGGATTTTCTAAGGATACATATAAGAAGCATTAATTTATGATATATATTACCATAATTAATTATAAAATACATTAATAATAAGAAATATTATCATAATTAATTGTGAAGTGCATTAATAATTTCCATAATAATTATATTTCAAATTTAATTATGGTAATATTTTTTATAATTAATACTTGTTATATATATCTTTAGGACACGAATTAGAAAATCCCTAATTAAAAATATAAAATATAATGTATATATAAGTTCCGATCCACCAAAACCGTAATGTGAAATATAATATCTCGGTAGAAGTATATTATTATTATGTATATAAAAATATAAAAAAACATTGGTTTATGGGTCGCTACTTGCCCCGATCCAGTAAGCTACCACTGCCACAATATTCCACTTCCCTTATTTTTTTCTCGATTAGCAACAGATTGGCAGAAAATAGTAGCTAGTAACGAAAGAAACATTTATTATATCAAAATTGTTAAATAAGTGTATTTATGATCAAATTTACTTTCAATAGATCGAAGTGTTTTTTAACAATTTAACCAATATATGTAGATAATTATTACTAAAGGAACAGCTACAAAGCAGATGCAAATTGATCTAAAAAAAACAAAAATCACTCTTCATCAGGACTCAGGAATCAACACAACCGAACCAGTTGTTTCCCGATTCTCAATAGCAGCATGAGCTTGAGTTGCTTGAGAGAGAGGATATTTATGCTTGACACGAGACTTCAACACTCCTTTTGCAACATTAGAAAACAAATCTTCAGCAGCTTCAAGCAGCTCCTCGCGATTATCAACTGTGTATTCTGTGACCGATGCAAACGTCAAGTAGACTGATTTTGGTATAAGTTTACCAAAAGATACAGGCTCTGGTTCACCTGATGCCGCTCCGAAGAGCACCATGCATCCACGCTTCTTTAAGCATGCTAATGATCCCTTCATATTAAAACACACGTTAGATGCATTAACAAGTTATTTAAAAGATCGATCATGCATAATGAATGAATTGAGTTAATAATACATTTAAAGTGTCCTTCCCGACTCCATCGTAAACTACTTCCACCCCCTTGCCTGATGTTATCTCCATCACACGTTCCACAAAGTCCTCATCTTTGTAAAGAATCACATGCTCGCATCCATCTTCTTTCGCTTGCACAGCCTTCTCCTCGGTGGACACTGTTCCGATGACGGTGGCTCCGATCGCACTTGCCCATTGACAGAGCAAATATCCGACTCCACCTGCCGCTGCGTGTACAAGGATCGTATGCCCAGGTTCAACCTATATATCGATCGACAAGACAAGTAGACAACCGCCATGAACATTTAAAACTGAATCTCAAATTATCTAAACGTTGACGAACAGATACATAAATCAAATCAAGATTTGAATGGGTCACCTTAAAGCCTTTATGGATCAACACATGCGCAGTGAGTCCCTTGAAAATGATGGCAGCTGCTTCAACGGGATCAATGGATGAAGGAACAGGAACAGCTTCATCTGCCGAAAGTATTCTCTCTTGGGCGTAAGCACCCACCTTCGAGCTTGCGTAAGCCACAACATCTCCAACTTTGCAGCTGGTTACTCCCGGACCCACCGCTGTTACAACTCCGGCTCCTTCCATACCTGGGATATATGGCAAGGGTGGACACGTATTGTATAGACCTTGACGCATATACACATCCAAGAAATTTAGACCAATTGCCTTTTGGTTCAACCTGATTTCTCCTTCTTTTGGTTCTGGGACTTCAACGTCTTCCCATGTCAACACCTGTGATAGAAATGAACACCGTTAACTATAAGTCTCCATTCAAATAAACTAAGGAAAAAGCAAAAAGAAGGTGACCAATGACCTCAGGACCACCATTCTGATGAACTCTGATTGCTTTAACCATGGTAGCCGGAGTGTAATTGCTTTGGATTTAGCAGGAGAGATAAGGATCGAAGGATGTAAATTACTGCCCTCTTGCAGTCCTTTTTGTTCTTAATATATATGAGTGTAAATTACATAAATGGTCCATGTGGTTTATGATTGATTCTTCTTATTATATTTTCTAATTGGTAATATTTATATTTAGGCCATTCACAATACTTATTATAGTTTATTTTAAGTATGCATAATGCATTGACTTTTTACCTATAATTTTAATCTAATTTATAAAAAAAAAGTCTCAAACTAATTTTTATTTACAAAAAAACATAGAATACCGGCTAAAACTTCGAAAAAACTCTTTTTGGTCGGTTTCGTAGATTTAGTCGGTATTCTGTTATTTTCGTTAGTTTGCTTAAAATATTAAGATTTTTTTTTTTAAATTACCCGATAACCAAAATATTGAGACTTTTCTGAAAATTACTATGGAATTAATGACTATTATTATTAACAAATCATTTATAAACATAAAAAATAATTTTATTATAGACAAAAAAAAAAACATTTGTTGCTAATTCGAGGAATAAAATAGTCCACTATGTAATTCTGTATTGTTTGTTGACCACTTCAAAGTCCATATATTCTTCATATGTATCGTTGTAGGTGTCATAGTGAGAAGTACATTATTAGGCGTAACTAATATAAGATTGGATTATATTTATTAATACACAACCAATAAATGTCTACTTGCTATTAGGCGTAACGCTATATGATCACATGTTATTAGAAAATATCATTACACAATGATTCTTGAACATATAGATCTTTATGTATGTTCTTCAACCTAACTACTACCTAACCTCCTTACATTACCCGGTATCAACCATCAAATTACACACATCTATCGAAAATGAAAACTAAATTTTGAATGACAATTTAAATAAATAATCACCATTCACTTGTTTTCATATAAACTATCATTCACGGTTCACTTTTCACATTTGATAGATGTGTGTTAGCTAATGGTTGTTAATGTGTGAGTTATGGATGTTGAGTGGTAGTTAGGTTAAACAACATAAGAGGAACACCAACATTAGAGGAACACTAATTGAGTACATCTCACCATCATATTCACAACAATACATAGGATGAACGTAAAGAGTTTGAGTGGTCAGCAAGCAATAGATGAGTACTTAGACCACCAATTTATTCCTACAAATTAGCAACAAATGTTTTTTTTTTTTTTTTTTTAATAAAAATACTTTTTATGTTTATAAAAGATTTGTTAATAATAATATCTATTAACTCCATGGTAATTTTCAGAAAAATCAAAATATTTTGGTTACTAAGTAATTTTTGGAAAAGTCCCAAAATTTTGATCAAACTAACGAAAAAGGACAAAATACCGGCTAAATCTACGAAACCAGTCGAAAAGGGTTTTTTCGATGTTTTAATCGGTATTTTGTGCTTTTCTGTAAACAAAATTTAGTTTGGGACTTTTTCATAAATTGATATAAAATTTTAGGACTTTTCTGGAGATCTCTCCATCATTTTTCTGCATTTCATATAACCTAATCAATTTTTTCCTATAATACATTGAACTCTACAAAGTTCAATAGAAAGTTACAAAAGCTAATTTATAGTATATATTTAATGTGACATCCCCAAAATCTCGGCCAGAAAAGACCGATTTCATTTATGTTTTTTAAAATAATTTCATAGTAAATCCTTTTGATTTAAAGGAGTTGCGGAATTTGTTCTCAAAAACAAAATACGATAAAATAATATTTATCAAAGCATCTCATCAAGAGATGCATTTTCATTATACAATCAAAACTCGGGATGTCATGTTCCGATACAGATCATAAAGCATAAACGATAACATTACAAGTCATTCAACAAATATATACATGTGCAGACTTGTAAACAAAACAACTTGATGATTCATCCATCTTATGCCCTCGCACCACTACTTGTAATATAAATAAACTGAGTGGTTCAGGCTTGGGAGCCTGGTGAGCATATAGGGTTTTCTACCAACAATAAATAATTATATTTAATTTCACCAACCAACAATAACCAAATCACCCATTTCCCTTATCCTCACTTTACGTTCCTAAAACAACATCTATTACAAGGGACCTAATCTAGGAATTTCATCGAGACGAACATTACTGCTAAGGGGTTTTCTCAACAATAGATATCCTAAAAGCAACCATGAGGGGGATAGAGTACACCGGTGAATACGTCGTTCACAACACCTACAGGTTATGAACCTGCTAGCGTTCCACAAGACTGTCGTTTGTCTAGAAAGAGTCTGTGGTCGTTATCCATACTCAGCTGAATAACTAGATCAACAACAATAACATCGAGGCCTCTCATATGTTTATCACACATCAACTATCTACCTATGTTCTACCCAACATATTAGTAGATAAAAATATATACTTTTATACATAGTTTGAAACCTATATAGCATGTTCAATCAATACATATTCCACATAACAGATGAGGCACACACACATAACACGTATTTCATAGAGAATAAATCAGATCTATGAGATAGAAGAAAGTAATATACATTTACACATATAATCGACAAAATATACACATAACACATATTTCGTATCAAATACTTCATAATTATGCGTTTAGAAGAAGGTAACTACACACTCACTTGATCAGAAGATG